CAAATGTCCCCGCCTGATCACAGCCTGACTTTGAAAGTATTTCATTGTGTTTCTCTATAGTGTTATCGCCCGAGTACACATCCCTAAACACTAGAGGTTAGTCTTGTCCATATTAAAAAATGTGTATCTTTTAAATCTCTGCTGATTCCTCCCTCATCCCTTGCATTTTCTTAGTTCATCTTTTGGAGGAATCTGGAGCATTTGACCTGAAAAGTGTTGAAGAGTCTGAATCATCACTGTTATTTTTCACATGTATTCCCCTCCTTTCAACTTCCTCCCTCTCTCCCTTTGGATATAGAGTGATGCAGATCGCAGTTCCAGTCCTGAGTCTGCCAGTTGCTGTGTGACTTTAGACAAGTCACCTAACCTCTCTGAACTTCTCTCCTCAACTGGCAAATGAGGGACCTAGAAGCTCTCAGTCTGCTTCCACAAACACTAGACTTCTGTCCTGCAGTTTCTACTCCAAAGCAACTTTACAGGGTGAGGATCAAAGAGACCTGGCTCTGGAATCCAATTTTCCTGGCGCTAGCTGTGTGAACTTGGGCAAATTACTTAACCTCAGATTCCTCACCCATGGTGCCGGAGCAAGACTGAGATAAGATCATGCATTAAGTGCCCGACACCTAGTATGAGCTAATCACTGTGGATGGTTGTTGCTATTGTTAAGGCTAACATTGACTGCTTACTCTGTGTCAAGTGTCTTCAGATGCATTAACTCATTTTATCCTGACAACAGTGCTGTGAGGCAGCCCCATTTTATAGATGAGGAAATTGAGGCACAGAAAGGCTCAGTAACTTGCTCACAGTCACACAGATGGTAAGCCACGGACCTAGGCTGTCTAGATCCGGAGCTGTGCTGTTAGCCACTGAGCCATACTGCCTCAAATACAGCTACTCTCTAGCAGAATTTCCCCTTTGCTTGCCCAAGCCTGGAGAGAATTCCAACAGGGATGAGGATGAAGCAGTAGCTGAATCCAGCATGACAAAATCCAGGGGTGAGAAGGCGTCCTTACCCCAAAGTGAGATCCTGGCCCAGGGCATTAATCGGGGCCATCCCTGTTTCCCTCCCGCCCCACCCCTACCATTGCTGCTGAAAACCTGCTGAAGGGAACTCAGGAACGGGGTCAGACCAGGAGGGCAGCAGAGAAGTCCCCACCTGGCGGAGCAGCTCGGGGGACGTTGCCGTGTGTTTGTCCCGTGCAATTTTCTGGGTTTCTGCAGAAGTGTGAACGTGTGTGGTAGGAGATGGTGCTTTTGCATGTGGAGCTGTCTGTCTGTCTGTCTGTGCAGAGGCAACGTGGCCAGCCTGCCGGGTACCCGAGCCGTCTGTGCCATCCACTGGGTATGTGACCCCAGGGAAGTGACTCGGCCCTTTGTGACTTAGTTTCCTCGTGCGTATAAAAATGGGTATAATGACAATAACAGTACCAACTTGATAGGGATTTTCTGAAGATTCATTGAGTTCATCCAGGTTGGTGCTTAAAATAGTGCTGAGCACTGAGTTAGGAGCAAGCAGGGACAGCTTGTATGTTCTCATATGATTAAATGTGTAAAGGGTGAGCGTCTGCATATTTGTGCCAGGGCACCAGAGGGGACACAGTAGAAAAGGACCTAAGTAAGGGGCTGGGGCACTGAGCCGTCTATGTGGTTTGCGGGAGGAGGATGCGCTTGTGGGGGTGTCTGTGTGGTGTGTGCCCAGTGGAGGCACGTGCATTCTGTGAACATGGGAGGATGTCTGCTGCAGAGCCCCAGTTACCACACAGGCAGGCTCCCGGCCCTAGGACAAGTCCCTGAGCTCTGTGTGCCTCGGTCTCCCCAGCTGTGCCATGGGTGGGGTCACTACCTCAAAGGCAGCCGTGGAAACCAGTGAATGGTGGATGTGAAGCTCCACACGTGTGCAAGTCATAGAAGACGGTCCGCTGAGCGTGCTGGCAGAGTGGGCCTAATCGCTGGCACTCCTGGGTTTGTAAGGGCCGGGACTGTTGGCGTGTGCCTGCCCTAGGCTGCAGAGCTCCCCCTGGGTGCCGTGGGTCCTGGCCGGCCGGAGGCAGATGAGCCCTTAGTCCAGCTTTTTTCACCAGACTTCCGAGGCCCAGAGAAGGATAGGGCCTTACCTCAGGACACACAGCACTCTGGAGGCAGAGATGGGGCTAGATTGGAGCCGAGCTCCGTTGTCCTTCTGGCATGGTGGTGAAGGCCTGTTGGGTCAGGGTCGGCACCCCCAGCACCTCTGCCAGCACCCAGCAGGCAGCCACTCCAGCAGGAAGATGTGTGCTTTGGCAGCAGGCTCTGTCTGGGCCGGGAGGCTGAGGCTGGGCGGCTGCCCCGGGCAGGAATTCCATGTGGCTGGCGAGAACCCCGGCCCCCAGCGCTCCATTGCCACCTGGCTCGGCTGGGGACCCCGAGACTGAGTCCTGCCTGGGGATTCTCAGAGGTCACTGGAAGAGGAGGCTGAGGCTTACAAATGCTTTGGTCTTTTCTAATATAATCCCCCTTCCTGTAAGTCTACCGCCTCCATTACAAAAGCGTTGCTTGTTATTTGTAAAGAATGCAAATAATCAGAGGGGAGAAATTAAACTCCTGTCTTAACCAGAAATACAGCAACTCAGAGACCAAAGGGGCTTTGATGACACACATACGCACATGCCCGTATAGACATCTGCATGCTGGTGCATATATCTGTGCCAGCACACACACGCACATGCATACACACACGCACACACGCACAGAGCACACACTGTGCCGGCATAGTTCTGAGCGCTCCACAAATGTTCATTTGTTTTATCTTCACAACAATGCCAGAAGGTAGGTATCTCTATTACTCCCATTTTACAGACGAGGCACAAAATGACTGAGCAACTTGCTCAAGGACATTCAGTTAGTGAGCGAAATAATGAGGATTTGAACCCAGATCCATAGCTTAATTCATTAGGCTGCATGGTGCGATGTTCGAGTGGCCTGATGGTGAACATCCTCCTGGGCTTTTTCCTGTGCATTGATGTTGGTTTGGTTTAAAAAAAAATGGCATCCTTAAAAACAAACAAATGGGGGCGCCTGGGTGGCTCAGTCGGTTAAGCGTCCGACTTCGGCTTGGGTCATGATCTCACGGTTCGTGGGTTCGAGCCCTGCGTCGGGCTCTGTGCTGACAGCTAGCTCAGAGCCTGGAGTCTGTTTCAGATTCTGTGTCTCCCTCTCTCTCTGACCCTCCCCTGCTCATGCGCAAGCTCTCTCTCTCTCAGCAATAAATAAAACATTAGAAAAAATTTACAAAACAACAGGGGCGCCTGGGTGGCTTAGTCGGTTAAGCATCCAACCTCGCGGTTCATGGGTTTGAGCCCCACATCGGGCTCTGTGCTAACTGCCAGCTCAGAGCCTGGAGCCAATTTCAGAGTCTGTATCTCCCTCTCTCTCTGACCCTCCCCTGCTCACGTTGTCTCTCTCTCTCTCTCCTAGAAATAAATAAAAAAAAAAATTAAGAAAAAGAAAAAATTTACAAAACAACAACAACAAAGAAACCCAGAAAATGGTATCCTTTTTACATATTAACAGGGCTCTGGGGTCACACTTGGATTTGAATCCTGTCTCTATTGCAGATGGCTGGCTTCACTATAGGCTTGTCCCTTCATCTCTTGGGCTCAGTTTCTTCATCTGTTAAACGGGGAGCTACAGTATCTGTTTCTGAGGGTTGCCTGAACTTGTGTGTGTAAAGCACTCAGCCCAGGCCTGGCACATAGTAGGTGCTCATTAGATGGGACCGGGTTAATTGCCTACTCTGAGGCTGGACGGCTTTGTAGGGAAAACAGTCAAAGAATACTCTCCAAAGCAAGGCAGCCTTAATATTGGAGTCGGGAAGACAGAGGAAAGCCTCTCTATCTGGGGTCTCCAAGGTGGGGGTGCTCTTTTCTCCTGGAGTCCCTGCCGTTGTCACATCTGTATCCCAACCAGCCGCTCAGCCCCAGCCGCGCACACCCCAGGGGGACGCAGGACCGGCAGAGGCGCCAGAGGGCGGGAGAGGAAAGCCCACAAATGGGCAGGCGGAGCCTCGGGTCCAAGTCTGGCCTGGCTGGAAGGGGAGGGGGCTGTGGGGCCCGGACGTCAGATGCCATCAGCTCCCAGGGGACCGTTAAAGTCGCCGTGCTGCCAGGCGGGCCAGGGTGTCTGCAGAGGCCCCTGGCTCCTCGGCGCCCGCTGCACCCCGCCTGGGCTGCCCGGCCTGGGTACGCGCCCCGGGGAGCCTGCTGCGTGCTGTCCCGCACGCGCCCTCCCGCTGGCTTCCTTCTCTTTAACTCTGTTTCTCCCTCATCTTGTCTGTTCTTCTTTCCCGTCAGAATTTCTCCCTCTGCTTCTGCCTCTCACATGTTCTTTCTCTTTTTCCCCATCACCGTCTCCCCTTCTCTCCTTATCTTTCCACCTTTTGATTTCCTTCATCCCTGTTCTCTGTATTTTTTTCAGATGTCTCTTTGGTCTCTGCTCGCTTTTCTTCCTCTCTGCTTCTCTCTTTCTTGGCCTCTTCCTCCTCCATCTCCTCTGCCACCTGATTCTTCCTGTGTCTCACTCTCAACCCCCAAAATACAGCAACTCGGGGATGGCAGGGCCTTGCGGTTTGCCCTGGGGAAGGTTGGCCCTGCCCTCTGAGGGCATCGAGGACCGGTGGAGAGGGTGTCCGGGCTGGGCAGGCCCGGCGTCTGTCTCCTGGGCTGCTGGGAGGGGCCCTGACTTTGAGGTGGCAGCACCGTCTGCATCACGTGGCCTGAACAGGATTGACTACTGTTCGGCAGGTCTATCCGTCACCCGATCCACTGGGTCCACTGGCGTGGGAAGGACAGGGTGCTGCGCATCAGGACTAGAGCTGAGTCAGGACATCTTTGCCCAGTTCCCAGGGGTTAGAGTCCTTGGGTGGCGATGCAGGAGAACACTCAGGGTTTGATGTCCTCATGTCCACCTCCTCCAGGCAGCTGGCTCTGACTGCACGAGGTGACGTGTGACCCTTCCAGCCAGCAATGCCCCTGCTGCCCAGCACCGTGGGCCTGGCAGGCCTCCTCTTCTGGGCAGGCCAGACAGTGAACGCCTTGATGCCCAATGCCACCCTGGCCCTGGCCCAGACCGAGGGCACGGCCGTGTGGCCCCTGAGTGGCCTGGGGGTGCCCCGGTACCGGCGGAAGCGCCACCTCTCTGCCCGGGACATGAGTGCCTTACTGGATTATCACAACCACATCCGGGCCAGTGTGCACCCACCTGCGGCCAACATGGAGTATATGGTGAGTTCCTACACCCTCCCCTGTGCCCTTTCCAGCAAATGTCAGTCAACCCTGTGTGTTCTAGAAGGGCTGGACCATTTGCCAGCCTGGCCCCACTAGCCAATATCTGGGTGTCTGGGTCCTGCGGAAAGGGCAGGGATTACTCTACCCATCTTATAGATGAGAACACTAAGGTAGGTGCACAGGTTCTCTTGGGAAGTGGGGTCAGCAGACTGCTATTTATGGAGCATGTACTGTGTGCCTACGCATAACCTACACATAACCCTGAGGCTACTCCCCTGCCTTCAAGGTGAGAATTGTCATCTCCTTTTTACAAATAAAGAAACTGAGATGCAGAGATTTGCCAAAGGTCATCTAGTTGGGATTCTAACCCAGGTCAGCCTGCTTGCTGCTAAAGGTTGTGGTCTTAACCAACACAATTACCCTGCCTAAGGATTTTGGCTCCCTGCTGGGGGTCTACAGGGGGTGGGTGGCTGGAGCTTTCCATGCTATTATCTCTTTGGGGGGGGGTAGGGGTCTGGTGGACACTCACAGACAGGACTCAGCAAGCCTGTGGGGGGAGAGTTTGGATCAGTGGGGACTGGCACCTGGGGTCTCAAGCTGAAAAAAACCGGCAGCTGACCAGCTGAGGAAGCTGGGAAATGTTCCCTTAAGGAGGCAGGGCCAGCGGCTGTCACCCCAGCCTCCCAGAAGCCAGACTCTCAAGTGGAGAAGGGGACCTTTCTCTTTATCACAGCCCCTCCCCCAGGACCTTTGTCTCCAACCAGCCTGGAGAGATAGGCTTCTAGCCCACCCACAGGTTTCTTTAGGGAAAGAGATTGCCAGTCTCCCCACCCCCCAAGACAAGCATGTGCCATTCAACAGCCTGCAGCTTCCTATGGTTTTGCAATGTGTCCATCCACTTAGGTACCAGCCGCTGCTCAGAGGTAGGCACTATGCTAAGCTTCGTGGATATGCTGAGAACAGGACGGAAAAGGTGTGGATATGGGGATGATAGAAGACAAATATCCACAACATAATTATATATGGATACTACAGTGTCAAGTAAGAATAAGGTGCTGGGGAAGGGTGGGGATAGGAGCCAGAATGGCAGGCAGCTAGAGGCGGGGGAGTCATTTGTTTGTTCATTGACTGACTCATTCATTTATTAGCACAGGGGCTGACACATGGAAGGTCCTCCATTTTTCAAACAATGACACATTTATTGTGCACCAGCGTGTGTGTAAGTCACTCATCCCAACAAGTGTTTAATTACTGCATGCATGATGGAACAGAGAAAGCTAAACAGCCCAATGAATAGGGGTTTGATGTTAGCACGCTCCTTCCCTCATTTTACCCCTTTGGTGCATGAAAGAAAATACTCCTCTACATTCTCTAAGAGTGTGAGTTGAACAACTTTGAGACCATGTTTGGACCCCTCTCTTGGTAACCCTGTGGTTTCTTCACTAGCTGGATCCTGCCCGCAGGACAGGTATCTGTCTAAGTACCCTTTGCTCAAGGAATCCTTTCTCTCCCACAGCGTCCCCAAAAGTTCCTCTCCCCTGTTTCGCATTCTCACACCCACTGGGATCCTAATGATCTTTAATGTCTCATTTCCTTGCTAGACTCTCAGTTCTGGGTGCCTAGAAATATTGCTCAATATTTGCTGAGTGAACAAATAAGATGAATGAGTGAATAATGTCTCAGAGAATCCTAGGAAGTCAGAGTGGAAGGAAACTGGTGTTTTTTTAAAGTGATCCTTTTTCAAGCTATAAAAGTTGGGGCAGTCACACATTGGGAAATTATGAAGCTGTTAGGAGGGAGGGAGGAGGGGGTTATTCTTTATGTGTTGATGTGAAATAACCACGGAGATAATCTGTTTGGTTGAGTGAGAGCAGCCAGAGACCTGATAGGTCTGGTTAGCTGCCATTTGTCAACAAAATGTATAAATTTTATATTATATACGCTTATATACATTATATACACTTATACAATTATATATACTTATGTAATTATATGTATTCTATATAATCAGATAGTTTACATATACTCGTATTATATAATTGTATGTATGTATATATACTTGCACAGGTGTAGAGTGTTTCTGGAAGATGCCAGAAATCACGGTGACAATTGCCTGTAGGGGGCAGGACAGCTAGGGGAGCCAGTCTAGGATTAAGATGAGAGATTTTCCACTTTTCCTCCTTCGGGCATCTCACATATTAAATTTGTGCCTGTTTTCACTGTTCAGAAAAAGCCTTTAGAATTCAAAATGCTTAATATTAAAATAAACACATTTTTAAAATACAATAAATAACATAAAAAATCAGTTCCCTCCTCATCACTCTGGGCGCAGCCACTTCCAGGGACTGTTCCAGGGACTGTTAGGAACTCCCGCACAGACACCATGGAGCCCGCTCAGAGTAGAGAGCCCCCCAGCCTGAAGTCCAGTGGCGGGGCCTGGGGGAAAGGGTACGAGAGGAGTGGGAGGTCAGGGTGTGGATCTTGGCTCTGGTGCGGACTTGCTGTTGACCTTGACATCATAGGCCTCCTCCGACTCTTAGTTTCCAAACTGTCAAAGGGATGTGGTGCAGGGTTCCAAGGAGACGGAGGAGGAACGGGACCAGGACAATGCAGGTCTCTGGACACGGCTGGGATAGCGGTTCCCCCTCCTCCCCACCCCCCACCTCTACCCCAGCCCCCACCCTGGGGAAGTTCATGGCCTTTCTTTCCCCAGGTCTGGGACGAGCGGCTGGCCAGGTCTGCCGAGGCCTGGGCCACCCAGTGCATCTGGGCCCACGGGCCCTCACAGCTGATGCGACACGTGGGCCAGAACCTGTCCATCCATTCTGGCCGGTGAGTGACCTTCTGCTGTTCATCCTCTCAGTCACTCGACAAGGCCACCGAGCAGGGTGGCAGCAGAGCAGCTGCTCCATTCCCCAGCCCGCCTCTCTTCCCTCTCCTCTGCCTCCCCAGGCACCGATCCGTGGTGGACCTCGCGAAGTCTTGGTCTGAGGAGAAGCGACATTACTCGTTCCCGGCCCCCAGAGACTGTCGCCCACATTGCCCCTGGCGCTGTAGAGGCCCTGTCTGCTCCCACTACACTCAGGTAGCGCTTTATCGGGACGAAGGGCTGAGGGAGCACAAATCCTGGGAGCCTAGAAGAAAAAGAGTGTGGTGGAACAGAAATTAGAAAGGGAACAGAGGGGGCGCCTGGGTGGCTCAGTTGTTGTGTCAGACTTCAGCTCGCGTCATGGTCTTACGGTTTGTGAGTTCGAGCCCTGTATTGGGCTCTGTGCTGACAGCTCGGAGCCTGGAGCCTGCTTCCGATTTTGTCTCCCTCTCTCTCTGCTCCTTGCCCACTTGTGTTCACTCTCTCTCTCTCAAAAATAAATACATAAACATTAAAAAAAGAAGAAGTAGGAAAGAGGCCCTATGGACTTCCTCTCATACGATAAGCATATTCCTGGAAAGTTGTGTGTACGTTGAACTGAGCTGACTGCATCTTGTGTTGAGTCTCTTGGGGGATGACCAGATTGATTGACCCCAGAACGGCGATGTGTGGTCTGACAAGTTCAAGACTGCTTTTGAATTCAATAAGTCCAAACAATTTCTAGTATTTTCTGTCTTCTCAGAACCCCACTATCTCAAAAAAGTGGTAAAATAAAATGACAAAAAATGTAGTATATTTTGGGCGCTAACATTGAGTATGTTACAACCTGGTACACATAAAACTATAATGCCGTATAGTGTAGGAAATGGGACCAAAAATTCCCATCATAGGACCAATATTTTTTTCTTTTCTATTCTTTTTTTCTTTTCTTTCTTTCTTTTTTTTTTTTTTTTGAGAGAGAGAGTATGCATAAACAGGGGAGAAGGGCAGTATTGCATAAGGGGAAGAATTGCTGGCTAGCTCAGGATGTCTGAGTTTGAATTGTAGTTCTACCACTGAGTATCGTATGACATTGGGAGATAAACTTAACAGCTCTAATCCTCAATTCCTTTAACTGTAAAATGGGAGTAATAGTAATGCTATTTAAAAATGCACTGAGAGGGGCGACTGGGTGGCTTAGTCGGTTAAGCATCCGACTTTCGCTTAGGTCATGATCTCGTGGTTCGTGGGTTCGAGCCCTGCGTCGGGCTCTGGCTGGAGCCATTTTCAGAGTCTGTATCTCCCTCTCTCTCTGACCCTCCCCTGCTCACGCTGTCTCTCTCTCTCTCTGTCTCTCCTAGAAATAAATAAAAAAATATTAAAAGAAAAAAAAAGAATCAGCTCTTGTAAAAAAAAAATGCACTGAGATAACATAACTAGCCCATGCTTTCATTCATATTAGCTAATATTTGTATTATTGGCTTTGGTCTTCTACGGTTAGTTTCTCAGTCAATTCTTCATGTCCATTATCATCACTGTCAATCTCACAAAAACATGCCGGTAATTGAAAACTACCGTGGTGATGTGACACCTCAAAATCTACTCTAGATAAATGTATTCATGGGAGGGGGAGAAAATGTTTCTTTGGCCTGAAAGTCAGGTTACATAGTAATGAAGTTGGTTATCAGTTATAAAGATGTATTTGCTTCTTTGCTTTCTCTATATCTTTCCTCCCAAGTTGTGGCCCCTTGACCCCATGCATCTCCAACTCAGGAATGTTCTCAGTTTTGGATATAAGTACACATGATCAGAGGATTCAAAGGAATGAAAGGGAGGATATAATGGGACCAAAAATTCCCATCATAGGACCAATATTTTCTTTCTTTTCTTTTTTCTTTTCTTTTCTTTTCTTTTTTTTCCTTTCTCCTTTCTTTCTTTTCTTTCTTTCTTTCTTTCTTTCTTTCTTTCTTTCTTTCTTTCTTTCTTTCTTTCTTTCTTTATTTCTTTCTTTGAGAGAGAGAGTATGCATAAACAGGAGAGATGGACAGAGGGGCAAAGAGAATCTTAAGCAGGCTCCATGCTCAGTGTGGAGCCTGACTCGGGGCTTGATCCCACAACCCTGGGACCATGCCCTGAGCTGAGATAAAGAATCAGACACTCAACCAACTGAGTCACTCAGGCTCCCCAGGACCAATATTTTCTTTCAGTCTGTCCATCTCTCTGTGACTCATTTGGAGTTAATGTCAAAAGTCTACAGTTGAGACACTCTAGGAAATGTGAGGCCTGTAAACAATGTCCTTTCTGTTACCCCAGAGGACATTATTTATTACCTTCATTTTACCAAAGAAACTGAGGCGCAGAGTGGTTAAGTGACTTGGTCAAGTCATATACTAGTGATATTGAGATTCTGATCCAAGGCTGTTTCAAGTTTGTGTTTTAACTCTAACACAATATAATTTTCAAACAGTAGTCACTAGGGAACAAAGAAAGAAACAAAATTAATAGAACAGTATAGAAAATATTAGCATATATCACATGTGAAAAGATTAAATACGAGTTTGCAAAACTTTTGTTCCAAGTGTGTGTGTGTGTGGTGTGCACTAACAATTTAAAATTCATTCCTTACTGTTGGTTGTAGTAAAAAGAAAACAAAAAACAAAAAACAAAAACCAACAACCTTGAGAAACGCTATAGCACAGTTTGTCTCCAGGAACAGGAGGCACATTGCCTCCCCAGAGAGACCTCACCTAATACCTACACCCTGAACCACAGCCAGGAGCCTCCCAGTGCCAAGGAGCCTGGGCCCCCCTGAGTCCCTCTCAAAGCCTCCGCTGTCATTGTCCTTCCTCAGATGGTGTGGGCATCCTCCAATCGGCTGGGCTGTGCCCTCCACACCTGTGGCAGCATCAACGTCTGGGGCAACACCTGGCATCAGGCAGTGTACCTGGTCTGCAACTACGCCATTAAGTAAGTGTAGCCCCGAGGCAGGGGGCTGGAGGTGGGGTGGGGGGTTGCAAGGGTGGACCCTGAAGGCGGAATGGGCAGGATTCAAAGAAACCTCAATATCTTACAATTTGGTAGTTTTAGAGTCAATTGATAATTCTTTTTCTTTACCCAAATTGCAAAAGTGATTGGGAGATAGACAGAGGACCAGGTCAGGCGGATGCGCAGCCTCGCTGATAAAGTCAATAGTAGAGAAAGTGGGGGGCGCCTGGGTGGCTTAGTCGGTTAAGCGTCCGACTTTCGCTTAGGTCATGATCTCGCGGTTCGTGGGTTCGAGCCCCGCGTCGGGCTCTGTGCTGACTGCCAGCTCAGAGCCTGGAGCCTGTTTCAGAGTCTGTGGCTCCCTCTCTCTCTGACCCTCTCCTGCTCACGCTGTCTCTCTCTCTCTCTCTCTCTCCTAGAAATAAAAAAAAAACAAAACCTTAAAAAAATAGTAGAGAAAGTGGTTTAGATGTGCCATGTAAGCAGGCTTGCAAATAGCTCACTCTTGAATTAGACCTGCACACCGATGGACTGGGGACCCCTGACAACCACAGTCTTCCCATAAGTGCATTGCTGGCCCCTCCCAGCTTGTCACAGGAAACAGAGTAGCGGAGAACACACGCTCCCTGCAGCCAGACAGCTCCCAAGGAAAAGAAAGGAAGGCTCGAAAGAGCAGGCTCAGTTCCTTCCTCCAGACTCTCCAATCAGCTTGGTGGGAGAGAGGGCATGAGTGGCCTTCGTATGTAAGCCCCTTGGCAACATGGAGAAAGAGGAATGGAAGCTTCCATCTGTCGTACACTATACAAATTTGCCAACATTACAGACTCCCATATAAAAACAAGAACAGGGCACCTGGTGGCTCAGTTGGTTAAGCGTCTGACTTCGACTCAGGTCATGATCTCATGGCTTGTGAGTTCGAGTACCGCATCAGGCTCTATGCTGACCAGAGCCCAAAGCCTGCTTGGGATTTTGTCTCTCCTTCCTTCTCTGCCCCTCCCCTGCTCACACTCTGTCTCTCTCTCTCTCGAAAAACTAAATAAACATTAAAAAAATAATCACAAGAACAAATTCTAAGTAAACATAATATTTAGAAATTCAAAATTACATACTGATAACCACCTTTTACTCTCAAGTAGCCCTCAGCCATTTACAAAATATTTTCACCTTGTTATCTCATTGAAGAGATGAAAGAGAAAGAAGGAAGAAAAAATGGGAAGTATACTGGGAATTTTTTCCCTTTTTTCAAAGAGTAAGAAATTGAGGATCAGGGAGGTTAAGTAATTAACAAAAGTCACAAAGCCAGAAGGTAGCAGAGCTGTTCGAAACACAAGTCTTGATTCCAAGTCCTGTGTTCTTTTTTTGTTTGTTTATTTTTATTTATTTTTGAGAGAGAGAGAGAGAGAGAAAGCTGCAGGGAGAGAGAAGAAAGAATCCCAAGCAGGCTCCACGCTGCTAGCACAGAGCCCAAAGCAGGGCTCAAACTCACAAACCATGGTATCACAACCTGAGTCGAAATCAAGAGTCAGAAGCCCAGCCAACTGAGCCACCCATGTGCTCCTCATGTCCTATGTTCTGTCTACAACATTATTCTGATGTTCTGGAAGTCATTGGTAGTCTGACCAGAAATTCTCAAGCTATTTATCTGTTAATGGTGACATCTATTAACAAAGTATCAGCCCAGCTTTATCAGATACAAAAATACAAAGAAATTTCGTTACTAACAGCTTAAGGGACTGTTCCAATTTGCTGATACATCAAACTTTTGCAGCATTGAACATTAACAGTATAACTGTTAAGATTTTTATGCTCTGGAGTCAAGAGTGTCAGGGTTCAAATTTGTGATTTAACTTCTCCATTCCTGTTTCTCCATTTGCAAAATGGGAATAAAATAGTATCTACTCATTATTATTGAGAGAGGTAAGTGATCTGACCCAGGTAACACCCCGGGCTCATGATAATGTCAGCATATATGTCGATGCTTACTACTGTGAGTAAATCTGAGTTTAATGTCCAGCTCTACCGTGTGCATATGAAGACTTTGGATAAGGCGCTTCATCTCTATGGGCCTCACTCTCCTCTTTTAAAAGAGGGCTAATCTTGGGGGCACCTGTGTGGCTCAGGTCATGGTCTCACAGCTGGAGTTTGAGCCCCGCATTGGGCTCTCCACTCGTCACAGAGCCTGCTTTGAATCCTCTGTCTCCCTCTCTCTCTCTGTCCCTACCCCCTCAAAACTAAGTAAACATTAAAAAATAAATACATAACATAGGGCTAATCCTACCCATCTCACAGAGGATCATAGTACATGCTGAATAAATAGTGGCCATGATCATAACTAGGTTATAAACTTAGAAATAGACCTAGTTCATTTCTATATCCTTTTACTACACTGATTTCAACTCCCCTTTTTAAAAAGCAGAACTTTTCCCCAAGTGGTCAAATTAAAATTTAAAAAAATGATGACTTTTGTTTCATCACTCCTAGGTGTCTCCACTTCCCCTGCCCCCAAACTTCCGGGAGCACCTTTTGAAAACTATGGACTGATAGCATCTCACACAAGTCTTGATGCCCAATAGCTGCCTGCTCCTGAAGTGTTTGTTGAATGAATAAGTGAGTGAACCCCGTATAAAACCAGAAATGCATACCTTTCTTTCTTTTTTTTTTTTTTAATTTATTTCTAGGAGAGAGAGAGAGAGAGAGAGAGAGAGAGACAGCGTGAGCAGGGGAGGGTCAGAGAGAGAGGGAGTCACAGACTGAAACAGGCTCCAGGCTCTGAGCTGGCAGTCAGCACAGAGCCCGACGTGGGGCTCGAACCCACGAACCGCGAGATCATGACCTAAGCGAAAGTCGGACGCTTAACCGACTAAGCCACCCAGGCGCCCCCAGAAATGCATACCTTTCTAAGCACTTTGGCTGACTTTATTTACAATCATTCAACACTCGCTTTTGGAGAAAAAAGATTTCCTTTCTGCCCACAATGAGTATTCATATGAAGTGTGAGAAAATAAAGCAAAGTTCATTAACACTGGTGAGATGATGAGGCAGTCCTGAGCAAGAGCTGGGGAATGATTTTAAGCCTGGAGAAGAGGAGGGAGAAAAAGAAAATTCTGTGGACTGGGATGGGGAAGATGCGGTATGTAAATCGGACCTGCGGGAGCAGTCTGGAATGCCTGACAAAAAGCGGCACACCCGCTTCTGTGAGCTGGGGGTTAGCAAACTGCAGCCCGTGGCCAAAATCTTGCCTGCTGCTTATTTTTGTAAATTAAGTTTTAAGTTTTATTGAAACACAACCATAACCATTTATTTACACATTATCCAGGGCCGGTTTCAATGCAGTAGAGATATTTGGCCCACAAACCCTGACATATTTACTATCTGCCCCTTTACATTAAAAAACTTGCCAATCCTGGGGCACCTGGGTGGTTCAGTTGGCTAAGTGTTTGACTCTTGATTTCAGCTCAGGTCATGATCTCACAGTCATGAGATCAAGCCCCACATGGAGCTCTGCGCTGACAGTGCGGAGCCTGCTTGGGATTCTCTCTCTCCATCTCTCTCCTTATTCCTCCCCGGCTCACGCACGTGCTCTCTCTCTTTCTCAAAATAAACAAATAAAAATTAAAAAAACAGTCAATCCCTGCACCAGCAATGGGAAGCCACTAAAAGTTTTTGAGCAGGAGAATGTGATGAAGGTAGTTTGTTTGTTTTTAACAACTTTATTGAGATATAATTCACATACCATACAACTCACCCATTTGAAGTGTACAATTCAATGGGTTTTGGTATGTTACATTATTAATTTTTTTTAAATACGTATAACATAAAATTGGCCATTTTCATCATTTTTTAAGTGTACAACTCAGTGGCTTTAGTTACGTTCACCATGTTGTACACCCATCACCATTCTCTGCTTCCCAAACTCTTCCATCATCTCAAAGAAAAATTCTGTAAGCACTAAGCAATCAACTCCCCATCCCACCTCCCCCAAAAGGCCAGCATGGTCTGTTGAAAGGACTAACTCAGGAACAGGTAGGATGGATTTGGGATCCGGCTGTTGAAGAAATGGACAGCAGTGGCCATGATATGGCTTCCAGGACACATGTCCCTGTGATTGAAGAATACTTGTCATCTGATTATTCTAGCTTCTATTTGCCCAGCACTTCTGTAAGTCATAAAGTGTTCACACATCATTTTTGCAGATACCATTTTATCTATCTATCTATCTATCTATCTATCTATCTATTTTTTCTATTCATTCATTCATTCATTTATTTTCACTTAAGGGTTATTTATTTATTTTGAGAGAGAGGAAGAGAGACATCCCAAGAAGGCTCTGTGCTGTCAGCACAGAGCCTGATGCAGGGCTTGATCTCACCATGGTGAGATCATGACCTGAGCTGAAATCAACAGTCGGACACTCAACCAACAGAACCACCCAGGTGTCCCTCATGTATTTATTTTATTCATAAGAAATGAGGTGGTTTATTCTGTTACCAGCTGGACAGAATCCAAGATCAGAGCTCAGAGCTGCCTGAGTCGGGGATGGGAGGTGAGGTGGAGGAAATAAGAAAACCAACACTTCTTGAAGAGTCACTTATTTGCCAGGCGCGGTGCTAGGTGCACACACACAGGTCTCCCTTATTTGATCTTCTCTGCGACCCAGTGAGAGAGAGAAGTCTTCTCCTGGCTTTACAGATAAAGAAACGAAGGCTTACAGATGTGATGTGCCCAAGGTCACACACAGAGCCAGTCAGTGGTGGTGCTGAGATTTGGAAACCTGTGTGAACGTTGCTAACGTAACTCTCTGTCCCCGTCTCCTTGGGACCTTTTCTCTTCCAGGGGCAACTGGATCGGCGAGGCACCATACAAGATGGGGCGGCCATGTTCTGCCTGTCCCCCAAGTTACCAAGGCGCCTGCAGTAGAAACATGTGTTTCTCTGGACTCAAATCCAATAGGCTCCTGTGGTTCTAAATTTTCCTTGGGCCCTGGCAGCGCCTCTGGCTCTCCCCCGGAGGATCCCTTCCCAAAGACCAGGTCAAGCAATAATCGTTTTTTTTAAAGGACATAATTGAGCTCACTCCACTGATTTGAATTTTCCCTCCTGACTCCTTCTATTCCCCAAATGTTTAGCATGTGCCAGAAGAAAACAACCTCTTGCCTTCTTTCTTTCTTCTTACAGCTTTCTTCTCTCTGACTTCCGGCAAAGACGCCCGCATCTTTCATTGACTCAGTGCTCAGAGAGCCAGGGCTGGATGGAGCTGCATGGCCACTTCTCAGGTCCCAAACCCACATCTTTGTCCATCTAGTGAAGGGTATTTTTTAAACGATCTTTAGCCTGAAATCCACTTTCATTCATTCAGTAACAGCCAAACTTAGAGGACTTGTGGTTCACTCCCATTGACTGTTACTGGAGCCACCACAGGGTTCAAGCCCCCCTTTTCCAGATGGATACGCTGAGGCTCAGAGAAGAGGTGTGACCTACTGATGGCTGCACAGTTTGTCGTCGAGGGCACTCAGGTGGGAGCTCAGGTCCTGACGTGCCCTGCAGGCTGTCTGACTCCTCTCTGAGTGCCCAGATGGAGTACAAAACCAAAGTTGGCCTGAGAGAACTGACTTCTTCTGAGCCTGTCTCTTTCTGTTCCTATCACTCCACGTGTTGGTTTATCTCTCTCTCCCCCATATCCCCATAGAATCTCATTCTCATTCCCATAAACCATTTCCCCTCTCCCCGCCCCACCCCACCCAGATATCATAACTCACAAAAGTCCTTTTGTTTCCAGAGATAGTAAAATCTCCCTCACAGACCTTGCCCTCCAGCGGGGGCCCACTCCCTGCCCGGCCACAGAGCACTCCATTCAGAGACCTGGATGGAAAACCAGCCCCTTTCCCTGGACTCCTTACATCGTGCTAGATGGAGTGAGTTTCTCCCCCCTTCGCCAGGACCTGTGCATGTCAACACCCTTCCATCCCCTGCCCCGGGGCCCCCCAATAAAGTCCTTTGAGATCTGATGCAGTGGCTCTTTCTGGTCTCTCCTTCTCTTAGGCCTCAGAAGGGGTCAAAAAAGGAAGGAAGGGAATTGAGTAGGGGGAGATGGAGTGAGGGCAAAACCAGCTCCAGAAGACCAGGAGAGGGGGCTGACAGCCCCTCAGCCCCTGCTTTGTGCCAGGCATGACGAATAGATCAGTGCACAGTGCATATGTATGTATTACTGTTCCATTTTACTGATGGGAAAAATGAGGCTTAGAATGAGCGCCCATCTACAAATGCGGGAAATGAGTGAAGGGAAGCAAGTACACTGTTGTGAGTTTATTATTTGCAGATTATAGCCTTCCTACTTTTTGGGGGGTGGGAGGGATGGAGTATTTTCATTTATAAAACAGTGGTGACAATAAATGTTAGATTTTTAAAAAATTATTGGGGATCCTTGGTGGCTCAGTCGGTTAAGCACCCGACTCTTGGTTTCAGCTCAGGTCATGATCTCACAGTTTGTGAGTTCGAATCCCACTGCGGGCTCTGTGCTGACAGTGTGGAGCCTGCTTGGGAATCCACCCCCACCCCCACCCCATTCACGCTGTGTCTCTCTTTTAAAGACGTTTTGTGTTTCTCTCTCAAAGAAATAAATCAACTTTTAAAAAATTATTAATGTCCTTATATTGGAGGGAAAAAGGCTTGTCACCCTATGCCAGTTTCGCAAAATATTCTAGAAATTTAAGTGGCATGGGACCCGCTGAATTATCTTCTTTTTCTTTCCTTTTTTTTAAATGTTAATTTCCTTTTGAGAGAGAGAGAGAGAGAGACAGAGTGTGAGCGGGGGAGGGGCAGAGAGAGATGGAGACACAGAATCCAAAGCAGGCTCCAGGCTCCGAGATGTCAGCATGGACATCCCGATGTGGGGCTTGAACTCATAAACATGAGATCATGACCTGAGCTGAAGTTGGACACTTAACCGACTGAGCCACCCAGGCATCAACCCCCCGCCCCCAGCCGAATTACCTAGGAATAATTTTTTTTTTATTATTTCTGAGAGAGAGAGAGAAAAAAAGAGACAGCATGAGCAGGGAGGGTCAGAGAGAGAGGGAGACACAGAATCTGAAACAGGCTCCAACCCCCCCCCCCAAATTAAATGGTATGCACAAGGTTATACAGCTAGTAGGGAACAGTTTAGGATTTGAATTCAGCTTCATCTGCCCTCAAAGCCTGTGCTGTTTTGACTGTCCCTTATTGCCTTCCCATGTACCAGAAGAACAGCAATGATAATCACTGGCATCTATGAACTGTTTAGTACAGTCTTACTCTCATTGAATGAATTATCACCACTATCTTAAGTGATGGGTACTGTTCCCATCTGCCTTTTATAGACATAAAAAGTGATGCTAAAGAAGCCGAACTTGAATATGTTCTATGTGACTCAAAACCCCAATGTCTTTTTTTTTTTTTTTTTTTAGTTTATTGTCAAATTAGTTTCCACATAACACTCAGTGCTCATCCCCACCAGTGTCCTCCTTCAAAACCCCAATGTCTTAACCCATTCGCTCCCTGTTTCTCAGCTAAGAAGGGAGAAACTCAGAGACTGGACAAAGGTAGGGACAATTAAGCAAAAGGTGACATGGTAGGAGTGGGAATTCCAGGTGACTTCCGGGCTCCCCACTTCTGAAACTGCCCTTGAGCAGAGCCCACGCCGACCAAGAACTGAGCAGTTTGGGCTTGCTTGTACTAGCCAAACCCAGACCCTGCAGACTGGGGTCAGGAGGGGTGGGGGTGCTCAGGGTGAGAGGAGTTGCCATAGCACCTGGTTTGGTACATTACTGTCCCACTGAAGGAGAACTTTTCCTGCAAGAAATCTATAAGAACATTCAAGCCTCTAGTATTTTACTTTTTGAAGATTTTCATACCCCAACCTCATTTAATTGCTCATTTGTTCATACATTACTCACCAGCTAAGAGCGTTAAGAGCATAGACTCTGGGGCCAGATTGCTTAGGTACAAATTTAACTCCATGGCTAAGTGTGCTTGGCAAGCTCTCAGTGCCTGTCTCATCTGTAAATGGGGACACTAATAGTATCTGCCTCATGAGGTCGTTCAAAACATTAGATGAATGAATATATGGAAAGCACTTAGAATGTCTGGCATATAAAAGTGTATTAAAGAAGTGTCAGCTCTGAGCACAGTGGTCACTAATATACAGATCAGGGTGAACAAACCATACCTCAATAGCCAAATCTGGCCCACTGCCTGTTTTTATAAGTAAAGTTTTATTAGAACACAGCCAAGCTCTTTTGTTTTTATATTGTCTATGGTTGATTTCATACTCTCACAGCAGACAGGAGTAGTTGGAAGAGACCACATATCTAAAACCTCAAATATTTACTCTCTGGCGCTTTATAGAAAATGTTTATTGACCCCTGCGATCTATAATGTTCCTATGCTCCTAGAGCTTGTAATTCCAAGGTAACAGGCAAGCATTAAACAGAAGATGAATACATGGGGCGCCTGGGTGGCTCAGTTGGTTAGCATCCAACTTCGGCTCAGGCCATGATCTCACAGTTCGTGGGTTCGAGCCCCGCGTTGGGCTCTGTGCTGACAGTTAGCTCAGAGCGTGGAGCCCATTTCAGACTCTGTCCCCCTCTGTTTCTGACCCTCCCCTGCTCATGCTGTGTCTCTCTCACTCAGAAATAAATAAAACATAAAAAAAATTTAAACAGAAGATGAATACAAATACTTTTTGTTGTAATGGAAGTAAGTGCCATCTGGGAGAAGAACAGGGAATTACAGGCTCTGGAGGCAGTAGAGACAGTAACTACAACAACGTGGGGGGAAAGCTGGGGGAGAGAGTGCAAGGCAACGTCAGGTTCTAAGGTAAGCCTGCTGGGTGATAGGGAAAGGGAGTGGGCTGAAGCTGGGATGGGCGGCAGGGACCACGTCAGGCACAAATCTTGGGGCTTCACTCAAGGACAAGGGGGAGGCACTGCAAGGTTCTAACAGTGGGAGGACTCGTCAGATTTGCATTTGAAAAGATAATTCTGGCTGCATTCAAGGGGAATAGATTTGATGGGGGTCAGAATGGATGCTAGGATCCAGGTGAAAGGCTATTTCAGTCATCCAGGTGAGAAATGAGGATGGCTCCCTGGAGACAGGGAGAAGTGGATACCTTTATGAGATGTTGAAGTGGAATGCAGGGGGATTTTGTAGTGGCTGGGCGAGTGTGAAGAAAGTGGAGTAGATAAGGGTGCCATTTTATCAAGATGGGGAATTTAGGGGAAGGAGTTTCAAAGGGAGTGTAGAGCAGGGATGCCATTATAGGGGCATATCATCTTTGAGATATCTGTGAAACATACTAGTGGAGATATCTAGGAGACAGTTGGATATATGAATCTGGCCTCCAGAGAGAAATTTAGGTTGAAGATACATAATTGAGAGTCATGAGTAGACAGGTGGCCATTGAAGCCATGATGATGGATATGATTATGGGAGGAGAGATAACAGAATGAAAAAAAAAAAAAGAAGTAAATCTAGAATTAAGCTCCAAGTAACTTTAACATTTAAAGGCAGGTCGAGATGCATGAAATGTTCAGGAGACAGTCAAGAAGGAAGAACACCAGAAGACTGTAGTAGTGTGGATGCTAACGGAACAGGGATCAACTGTCAAATGCAATAAAATATCCTTTGAATGCTTCAGCAAGAAGTCACTCTATTTCACCAAGGAAGACTCAGTGGTGTGTGTGTGTGTGTGTGTGTGTGTGTGTGTGTGTGTGTGTGTGGAGGGGCAGGTGGAACAGAAATCAGAGTGAAGTGGGCTGTACCACAGGAGATGGGGAAAAAAAGAGAGCCCTGGTGTAGACAAGTATTTTGAAAGTTCAGTAGCAAAGGGAGTAGAGAGGTGATATAGTGGCAGAGACAGGAAAGGAGGTTATTAAGCGATGATTATTTATTCATTTATTTATTATTATTTTTTAATAATTTATTTTTTGAG